GCCACAAGTACTCCTGTTCTTCTTTTTGCGGATACAGACTAACACGGCTGCTACTCTGAAACCTGCATACTGGAGTAGTTATCAGTGGTTCACTCAAGATGGGAAGACAGATCTAGGGGGGTCCCTCATGGGTCTATCCTAGGGCTGGTACTAGTCAATATTTTTACTAATGACTTGAATAGTGGAGTGGAGACTATATGGTTATAAAAATTTGCAGATGACATCAAGCTGGTATGTGGTTCAAGCACTTTGGAGGACAGAATTAGAATTCAAAATGATCTTGCCGGACTGGAGAACTGGTCTGAAATCAACCGGATGAAATTCATTAAAGACAAGTGAAAAGCTCTGTACTTAAGAAAAATCAAGTTCACTAATACAAAGTGGGGAATAACTAGCTAAACAGTAGAATGGCTGAAAAGGACCTGGGGGGCTATAGTGGATGACAAATTGAATATGAGCCAATAAAGTGATCCAAAAAAGGGTTATCATTATTCCAGGTTGTATTAACAAGAGTGTCATATGCAAGACACAGGAGATAGAGAAAACAACTATTTAGCACTGTGAGGGTCTCAGCTGGAATACTGTCTAGTTTTGGGCACCACACTTTAAGGAAGATGTGGCTAAATTGAAAAGTCCAGAGGAGAGCAACATCAATGAGGTCATGCTTTCTAAAGCTTTTATGAGGAAAGATTAAAAAAAAAACTAGCTATGTTTAGGCTTGACAAAAGGAGACTGTGTGTGTGGGGAGATGAGGAACCACATTAATTTTCAAATGTGTTAGAAACTGTTATAAAGAGAACAGTGATGATTTTTTCTCCATGTCCACTGACTGTAGGATAAGGAATAATGGGCTTAATCTGCAGCAAGGGAGACTATAGGTTAGATATTAGAAAAAATAATAATTCCTAGCTATCATGCTAGTTAAGCACTAGAACAGGTAACCAAGGGAGGTTGTAGAATCCCCATCCCTTGAGGTTTTAAGAATGGGTTAGGCAAACACCTGTCAGGAATGGTCTAGGGATACTTGGTCCTGCCACAGTGCAGCGGCTAGGGATGGAAATTGACTTGATGACCTCCTTGAAGTCCTTTCTAGCCCTACATTTCTATGATTGTGATTATTAAATGTCTATAAAACCTTATTGATTTATGATTCTATTGAAATTACGTCTTAAAATGTCCCAACAATATTCTAGACAGTAAGTTTAGTGCCAATGCAGCACATGCAGTTATACTCCTCCATAAAGGGAACAAAAACAGAGCATATGACGCATGTCCAATCAAAACGTCAATGGAAACATAGAGTACTCCCAATGAGCTGCCTCCAATGAGCTACAGACCATGAGTTATGATGGGTTGGGTCACAGAAACCCCCTTGGGACTGCCACCTGATGTGCTGGGACTATCTCTGAGCCTGTTTTCCGTGGCAGGTTGGAACCTCAATACCTTGCCAGACACGCTTGCTTGCTGCAAACACAGATCCAGGCCTGAACCACATTCCCCACAAGCTGCAGACTTAACTGAAAAGCTTAAAAAGTGCTACTGTCTCCAGCACCCAGATACCCAGCTCCCAGTGGTGTCCAAACCCCAAATAAATCCGTTTTACTCTGTATAAAGCGTATACAGGGTAACTCATAAATTGTTTGCCCTCTATAACACGGATAGAGATGCACAGCTGTTTGCCCGCCAGTTATTAATACTTACTCTGGGTTAATTAATAAGTAAAAAGTGATTTTATTAAATATAAAAAGTAGGATTTAAGTGGTTCCAGGTAAAGACAGACAGAACAAAGTAAATTACCAAGCAAAATAAAACAAAAGCCCTCAAATCTAAGTCTACTACAGTAAGAAACTAAATGCAGTTAAATCTCACCCTCAGAGATTTTCCAATAAGCTTCTTTTACAGACAAGCCTTCCTCCTAGCCTGGGTCCAGCAATCACTCACACCCTCATAGTTACTGTCCTTTGTTCCAGTTTCTTACAGGCCTCTCTTTGGGGTGGAGAGGCTATCTCTTGAGCCAGCTGAAGACAAAATGGAGGGGTTTCCCAGGGGCTTATGTAGTCTTTCACTTGTGGGTGGAAATCCCTCTCCTGTCCTGTGTAAAATCCCCTCCACAAGATGGAGTTTTTCAGTCACCTGGGCAAGTCACATGTCCAGGCATGACTCGGTTCTCTACAGGCCGACGCCGTGTGAGCCCTAGCGTTCCCAGGAAAGCTCATATGTGGATTGATATCTATCAAGGTCCATTGTTAGCCAAGTACTCCCAATTACTTGAATAACCCCTTCACACTATGTTGACCAAATCTGCCTTAGGTGTTTTCTACAGCAAACACTTCAGATACAAGCATAGAACCAATGCTAATAACTTCAGATATAAAAATGATACATGCATACGAATAGGATGAATACATTCAGTAGAACATAATCTTTGCAAAGATATGTTACATGGCATATGTAGCATAAAACATATTCCAATTATGTCATATTTACATTCATAAGCATACTTCTATAAAGCATGGGGTGCAATGTCACAATTTGCACGAATAACTCAGAATAATTTTGTATAATTAATCTGTTCAGGGAAATCAGTTTGTTTGTGGTCAGTTTGAGGAAGCAGATGAATTTAGTTGAATAAACCAATTATTTGTCCAAATCTATTTATCCAAGCTTTCCCAAGTCCACTCTTTGCCACTACTGTGTGTTCACAATTATGCTGCATGCCAATCTCTGCTTTACCCCACATCTAGATGATCCGGATGGTCCCTTTTGATCTTAAAGTCTGAGTCTATGAACTTCACATGCACTGCCATTCCTTAGGTCAGCTTCCTAGCTGAGCTTCCTCCTAAAAAGTCTCACGTTTATCTGGCATGCTGTCCCCCAAACCAGAGCCTGGCCCTCTTTCAGTCCTGCATTCAACTTTTCATACTCTTATCCCAATGTGTTCAGTCAGGGCTGTTTTCTTAAAAGCCATGTGCATATTCTCTTCAAGCTCCTGCAGTTCTCTCCCATTTCCTCCTTCAATGCTTCAAATATCGCCTTCGAGCTGGAGGTGGAGATCAGGGCCACCAAATGTCCCCAAACCTCAGAGCTGTTCCAGTCTGGGATTTTGCTTTAAGCCCATCGATTGCTTGGGCTGGCAACAGTTTGCCTGAGTATTCTAGGCCATGTTATTCCTGACCCTTGCACAAGTACATGGTGGGTGCGTGTGCATGCATGCACATGCATGTGCGAAGAGGGCACAAGGAGCCTCCATACCCTTTGCATACTCTACGCAAAGGCCAGGTATAGCTCTTTCTCTGCTCCCATGGAGGTCAAACCAGCCAAAAGGGGTAGGGATGGATGCATTGTACACACTTCCCATGTGTACCAGGCAGCTGGGGAAGAGACTGTGCATGCCACAGGGGCAAGCCCTCCTGCATCTTCCTCTGGAATATTGGAGCTCAGCACCATCTCTGCCCTTGGTTGTGCCCAAAGGGGCATAGTCTAACTCACTGCACCATACATGCTGGCTGGGCACTTTTCAGTTTTGTATCTCAGGTCTTGCTGACTGCTCAGCTGGACTTTGAAAACATGTGCTGGGAAAAGTCTTTTGAAATTGTGATCAACAGCTTATACAAAGTCCTTTCCCTTAGGCACAGACATCTGACTTTATGCCTCTCCAGAAGAGCTAACCGAACAATCTGGTATCAGTCTAGTGAAGTGTTGATGTGGGAGGATAACTAAGACAGGCCCTATGTATGGGAGATTTATTTTCATTGTAAACAAAACATTGCCATAAATTCCTGAAAAGGGGAATAAACAGCAGAAGCCAAGATGAAAGCCTATGAGAGCTGCTATCATAAGGTAAGCGGAGTTGGGCTGAGTCAGCATTGGGTGGGGAACACCTAGCAAATGTGTGACTCTGTCAGTGGCATCTTTTCTCTTTAGCTCCTTCCTTCCTAAACTGTGGCCCAGGGGTGCCGTGTACTGTCACAATTGTATAGCACTTTGGAGATGGTTCCATTTTGGTAATGGAGGATGAAATTCCTGTATGTAGTGTGGTGACTATATTCAGTGTGGAAATCTCTTTAGACCCTTTCAGGAAAAGGGACACTAAATAGAGGCTATTTTTACACACGGGTTTTAGTCTGACATGGCAGCAGAGATGACCTGTGCCATAGTGGGGGGCGGCGGCAGAATGAGGGCAGCCGGCTTCAGCAGTGTTACTGAGCATGCTCAATCCATGAGTGTATGGTCTGTACCAGCCAAGCAGCAAATTTGTTGGGGCACACGAACCCGCGTGCCCTCCCTCCCCATGTCGCCTCTGCATTGCAGTATACAGTATTCATGCTAACACACTTGTGGCTACCAGGATAACATGCATGCAAGGAGGGATGATATTTATAGCACACTATTGGACTCCCTCTGCAAGGATCAGTGGAGAATGGGATTGGTATGAGGGAGTAGTCCACAAGAGTGCAAGACTTGAAGCTCTTTGGGGAAGGGACCATCTGCTTGTGCAGCACCTAGCACAATGGGGCCCTGATCCATGACTGGGATCCCTAGGTGCTGCAGCAATACATGGGCTGATTTGATTTCCTTCCCCCCCGCCCATTGAGTGGGGCAGATGCTCCTGGGAAAGCATGTTGCTCCACTCACACTACAATGTTCACTCTCCTATTGCATGACAGGGAGCTTGGGGAGAGATTGTGCTTCTTAAGGCAAATTCTCTCCCTTGGCTCCCCTTCAGCACCACTCCCTACAAGGCCAGTGGCTAAGGACCAAACTGTGGTTCTAGATATTTAGGGCAAAAAGGAAAAATGTATGGCATTAGTCTTTAAATACTTAGATCTATATTTCATTAATTGCATGAGCGCAAATACTACAATTATGCATGCAATCTTGGTCACGTGTTTGTGTAATCCTGGCTTTTTCTGTACTGCATGCTTTTGTGTAAAGATGCACTATGTCTAGTGACTGTTCTGTCTGAGTTGAAAAATTAAGTATCACTCTTGTGATTTCTGTCTTATGACATAAACCTGATTTCTCATGCCAGAGTTCTTTTCACTTAGCAAAACTGGAATTGCTGCTGGTGTTATGGATTGCGGGGGGGATCAGAGCAGGAGGCCGTAGTTCTAATGGATGTTCCTGTAGCACTTTCATAGACTAGCTCAGGAGTAGGCAACCTATGGCATGTGTGCCAAAGACGGCACGTGAGCTGATTTTCAGTAGCACTCACAGTGCCCGGGTCCTGGCCACCGGGCCGGGGGCTCTGCATTTTAATTTAATTTTAAATGAAGTGTCTTAAACATTTTAAAAACCTTATTTAATTTACATACAACAATAGTTTAGGCTAGGTCTACACGGAGGGTAGCTGAATTCGACGTATCCTTTTCGACTTACCCCGCTGTGAGGACGGTGGCAAATCGACCGCCGCGGCTCCCCCGTCGACGGCTCTTACTCCTCCTGATGAGGTGGGACTACACGCTTCGATTCAGGGATCGATTTATCCATCTAGATGAGATGCGATAAATCGATCCCCTAGAGATCGATTTCTACCCGCCGATCCGGGTGGGTAGTGTAGACTAGCCCTCAGTTATATATTAGACTTATAGAAAGAGACCTTCTAAAAATGTTAAAATGTATGACTGGCACGCAAAACCTTAAATTAGAGTGAATAAATGAAGACTCGGCACACCACTTCTGAAAGGTTTCCGACCCCTGGTCTAGCTGTACCCTGTTTGTGATCGGCAGTGTTGAATTTCCCAAGGAGCTAGAAGACCTAAGTGAATGGAGGGGTCCTTTACTTCTGTCAGCATTAAATACAGCGTGGCCCTCGTAGTAATGGAGCACCTCACAATCTTCAATATGCTGTCTCACAACACCCTGTGAGCAAGGGCAGAGCAAGCACCCCCATTTTGCAGCCTGGGAACTGAGGCTTCAGGAAACAGTCTCTCCCCAGCAATTGAAACCAGGTCTCTGGAGTCAGAGTCCCAGCCCTACAACCTTAGCCATACAATCTTCCTCCTTACAATAGCAAAATCCTAGAAAAGGGCTTACCTAAATAGTCTCTTTACTAGTGCCCAACCCTGTGTGGTCAGTGGGAACTGACGGCACTGAGACCAAGTAGAAGGCAACCACAACTTCACGGGCCCTGTTATATGGGGACACTTTATGTTCTTTCTATTGTGTTTTCAATGCAATTGGCAGGCTTCTGTGAGTAAGGATCCTGAAATGCTTTCCCTCAGAGGAGCAGGGCCATAGATGGAACATGAAGAATGGCAAAGGTGGTTTTATTTATTGTAGCTAAACAAATAACCCTTTCCCCCCATTTTATTATTCCAGGCTCTAGGCACCTCTGTCCAAATATAGTTAAACAACTTGCAGAAAACCAAACTCTCATGTCCCTCAGCTTTGATTCCCCACAAAAGCCCACTGCTGCAGCAGCCCATGCAAATAGATGTGATCTACTGTGTGCCTTAAAAATCTGGACCGGGGGTGGGGGTGAGCAGCTTGTTCCAAAGATGGGGGGCCTCATGGAGAACACTTTACCACCAGCCTCCCTCTTTCACTTGGAAGATCCAGTTCCTTCCCCTCCACCAATTGCAACGGTGGCAGAATGACATGAGAAGAGAGGCAGTCTCCCAAGCAGGAAGATTCCAAGCCATTTAGGGCTTTATAGATCAAAACCCCTTACATCCAATCTGGAAATCCATAGGCAGACAGCGTAGATCAAGAAGCACTAGTCCTGTGCTGGTACCAAATCTCTGGCACCCAACAACTCCTGGGCTGGGCAATGAACAGGCAATCAACCACTGCTGTTTGGTGTCATCCTCAATAACTCTCACTACCAGACCAACTGTATCATCTGTCCAATACCAACAGTAGTGAATTGTGACACTCATTAGCAGCGGGCAAGCAAAGAGTCAAAGGTGGAAGCAAAGAAGAGCAGCTGTGGGAGGGCACACTTGGGGGCTGATAAATGTAGCATTAAGGGATATTAAAATGTTTTTAATCCTTTAAATGTGCAGAAGATACAATAGAGATGACTCATGCATGGGCTGCCGTCATCTCTGTATCCATCCTTGCAGGCAATGGGCCGATTAGTCTGCTAATAATTACTAACTGGTTGTTTTTCACATTGTTGGTTTATTTCTTTTGGTTCACTTCCATCAATGGTAATGATGAGAAAAACAACCCCTCCTTCACCCCCCTCCAAGCTGACATATTGTGATGTTTAAAGTGCCAGAGGACAATTTGTTTTCTTGATTGACTTAGCTATACAGAGGTAGAACTTCTTGTTATGCTCACAAATCTTTACTGCTACTACTAATAGACTGCCCATCTCTGCCTAATAAAGATTCACGCTGCAGTTGTGGGCCTGAGCATAGAAGTAGGATCAAGGAATTCCTGAGTTCCAGTTGTGATTTGGGAACATAGGGACAGACCTTGAAATGCTTAGCACTCACATTTGGTGCCAGATTTTTCAGAAAAGTGCAGGTCTTCTCTTGCCAGATAAAGGCCATATTTTCAGAGCTCTGCATCCAGTACATTAAGCCTGCTTGATTTGATGCCTAAATTGGAGCTGAGCAGTTTTGTGAATTGGCCCCTGATTGCAGAGGCTGAACCCCTTTGAAAATTGAACTCTAAAAGCCTGATCCAAATGAAGCCTTTAAGATCAAGCCTAAACACCCTCTGGCTTTAGGGAAAGCATTTCACCCTTCTGCCTTAGTTTCATCTGTAAACTGAAAGTAATATGTATTCACAGAGGTGTCATAAAGACTAATTGGTTAATGTCTAAAAATAACTGGAAAGCAAAAGCACTATATTAATGGCTTATTAAGGCTACAGGAATGATTTTTCACCCGTCTCTAATGCCCACAACAATTTTAAGGATAAAACTTTTCATGCCTATTGTTGGCTGAAAAGTAGACTCTGTCAACTCACTTGAGTTTTGTCATCCTCAGAAGGTGAATCTTTTTAATGACGATTATAGATTTCCACTAGGTTGTGTCATGTAGTTATGGTGCAAAATTCCACAAGTGCCTGATTTCAAGACTTTTAAACGCGATGTGCTCTTATGGGTTAATATTATGGATCTTGGAACTGAATTGCATGTGGTGCCATCTGTGGCAGTTCAGAAGTAGTGTTTTGATAACGGACCTGGGCATATCTCAATGATCTGTGACTATTTGCATTCACCAACCATTCTGCCTGGCTAGGGGTGGAGGGAGCAAACCACATGGGCTTCTACAATTCTACAAAAGTGGATCTGCTGAGACATCACAGGCTGGTGGAAGGGGGGAGACTCCATCCCTGGCTGGGATCTGTGCATAACATCCTTTTCCCAGGTTTCATGTGTGACATGTAGGGTAGCATTTTGTTCCTATTCCTCAGAGATGAGCACTGGTATGTCTGAATAACCAAGGAATCTTTTGAAGACAATGTGTTGAGCACGCTCCAGAAATTGTCAGCTTTCAGTGCAAGACCTGCCCTTTCTCTTCATTCTTCATGTTCCATCTTAATACTTATTCATTTCCCCCAACAGGGATCAGTCACATTCTCTCAGTGCAGGGGGATTGTTGGTGTCTTCATTCCAAAATGTGTGGATGGATGATCTAAGAGCACTGAGATGAACACGCTGTTCATTTCCTGGGTGTGACTCTCAGTGGTAAGTTGTTTTTCTGAGTGCAGTGGTTGCTGATTTCCGACTACATCTTCAATTTCTCTCTCCTGCTGCTCACTTGCATATACCCTCTGCACTCTCCCAGTTCTCCACCCGCTTACAACCTTTCCCAAAAACAGGAGAAAAGAAGGAGTTTATTTGTTCATTAATTCTGTTAGCTGTGAAAGTTTCTAGAGGTTTGCAGTTTCCAACTGCTAAATTTTCATATTAGATTCTGCAGTTCAGTATCCATGGTAAGAAATTCTTCCATTGCAAACGAATGGCTCTTAGGTCATGATGTCAACACAGGGAATGGAGTAAATGTACACTCAACAGTAGTCCAAAACAAAATCTGCTATTCCCCACTTTTTCAGTTTTTAACCTGGCACTGTGTTTTAGTCTGAGATTTTTATTTCCACTAGTTAGGGGAAGGGTTCAGAGTGAAGAGAGGGGGGGAAAAAAGGCATTGCCATCCTCAAATACCACCTATGATCCCACTTTGCTGGATGGCTCTGCTAAAATAATCAGGGGTGAAATAGATAATCAATAGTGAAATATTGCCATACAAAATGTTATTGTCATTAAGTTTATGAGTTAATAGATCATTGAGATAAACTAGGAGGTTCATATGTCTCTTCTTGCCTTGATGGAGCTGCATAACTAGACTGCCATTTCTTTCATAGCCACATTGAGTTTCTGGAAGTTTAAGCTTTCATTTAAAAAAAAAGTTGCTAATGCCTCGCCAAAAGGCAAACCAATGCAAAGAATCCTGTTGCATGCCAGTCTAGCCCAACCCCATATTTCTCCTTTGATAGATTGTAGCGCTGGCAATGAGGAGATATACATCACAGCATGCAAACCAGCTCTTCCAGAGCAGTTACAGTGATGTAGAAAACCTTATTTTTCATAATCAATTTAACTCACAACTGGGGGAAGATAAAGGGAGATGCCCATAAGGTGGTTGACCAAAGGGACTTGACACTTAAATGTGGCTTGGCTGGCATCTCAATAACTCTATGCACGTGCTCCTTTTAAGTCCCACTACTGGATAGGTCAGCCTCCAGTTTTGCCTGCATACTTTTGTATACGTAGCTGGCTGTATGAACTCTTCCGTCATGCATCTTGGACAGTTGGCTGATTACAAGGTCATGTAAACAACTGCACATCTACTCTTGCAGTTGGAATCAGTTTCACATACAAAAGTATATATGTAAAAATCTGAGGCTTAAGTTGAATATTTGGCCTTCTAATTCCAGGAGTGCATACAGAACACTCTTACCTCATAACTGAACTAGCTTTGTGTCCCAGTGACAAAATTTGGGATTCCTGTACAATGCATTGTGATGGTTCTCAGAGTACCCAGGACTGTGAGTCACCTTGTTACCCTCCTTGTTTCCAGTGAGACTTGCTTATACCTGCTTATACTTAACTGGATGTGGGCTCCCTGACACCACCAGCCTGTTAGCCCAGAGGAGAGTGCTTGGGTGGTTCTGTCATTCTTTATTTTGTCTTGCAGGTTAACAATAGGTGTACCCCAGTTCCTGAACCCCTTTGAAGTGTTCCCTTGTAGTATGCTGCTCCTTCTTCAGTGAACACTCACAGAAATACCAGGTCTGCTGTCTCCAAAGGAATAGTGTACACACCAGCTTGTATGATTCAACTCAGGATCAGCTCATATAAGACCATAGCACTGAGATATATTTATAGTGAAAATAGCAATGAGGTTTTTTTTTTATCAAGGATTCAAGAAATAGTTAGTAAGGATAATGGAACTAAGTTACATATGAAACAAAATCATACACACTTTCTACAGACTAAATATAACAGGCTAACCTCCTGTCTAAAGAAGACTCGTCTTACTCAGTCTTTTGCAGCATTTTCCACTAACATAGGCAGTTACATTTTCATGAATGTAAACACATTCACTTCCTAGGTGCAGGATAAAGGGGCGTCATCTTTGTCTTCTATTTATATCCCTGTCTGTACTCCAACAGGGCAGCAGCACTCAGGAAAATAAGCTACAGAGCTTACAATGCTTAATTTAGAGGCCAGCAGAGACAGGTGAATAAACATCTATTGTCTGAAAAAGAACCTGTTTAGCTGCCTTTGTGTACATACATTTTGGTTCAAAACACATTTGCAGTAAACATACATAACTCTTTACATGGCATCTGTACATACATTGCGCAATTATATTAATGACCAGCGTGACCCGGCCTTTTATTTAAGACTAAGGATGATTTGTTGAAAGAGAATGTACATAACAGGATGTTCTTGTAGCCCCCTTGCCAGTGGGCATTGAGGAGTTTTGTAGTCAATACACATACTCCTGCATTACCATTTAAAAATAAAATCACTTCATACCTTCAAGGCCTGACTTTGAGATCAGTCTCAATCTGGTCTAGGGGTGTGTGTGCGCGCGCGCTGCCTATAGGTGTAATGTTGCTTGGACAACTGAGCCTAGGTTGTTCTCCCAAATAGAATACTTGAATATCCAAGAGATGTTAATTGCATTCACAAGTAAATAAGTGCAAAATTGTACCTTCAATTTAAAAAAATCTAGGGTGAAATCCTGGATCCATTGAAGTCAATAGGAAATTTGCCACTGACTTCCATGGAGCTAGGATTTCATGCCTTGCCTTTAACCTTCTAAAATAGCAATAATGGCATTGATCCCCTACTGAAAAACAAAAGCAGATGGTCATAGCAGTCTCTTCTTTTCTGGCAGGCAGAGATCTAGCCCACAAATGTCACTATAAGTTAACTAAGACAGCTCCTCAGAGGAGATTGTGATGCAAGGCCTTGATGTTGATGTTATTTTGGGAACTTGACAGTGACTTTCTGTTTGGAACCTATTGGGCACTCTCGCATTTGCAAGGGGGAAACTGGATGGCATTCTATTAGTAGTGCCTCTTTTTTTAGTTCCCTAATGTATCGTTCTCTTGTAACTACTAATTTTTTGCCATGCTTTTTGACTGTATATAATATGCACTTGATGTGGTGAACTGTAACTGTGATATCAAAAGGACTTGCCAAAATAAGCCACTCATTAACTGTAGGCCATTATTTGTTGTTAACTCATTTGGAGTCCCATGATTACCTAAATGTGTGCAACAGTTTAATTTCAGACATTTGAGAAGTGGACCAGAAATAAAAGGGATTTTTTTTCTATTTAATAGAAGTGAGCCAGCCATGGACTAATGGAGATCTGGAATGCCATGTTGTTTCAAGTATTGGTCTTGCATTTTGTTTCCTGTATCAGCTGCAGATTTCACACTTAACCTTGGACCAGTTTTTCATTTCTGCTCTGGTCCTTTACGCAACTATTTTCTTACACTACAGGATAGAGTAAAAGAAACTGGCAGAGTTTCAACCACATGTTATGGCTTTAGATTGTGTGTGGGGAGAAGAACATACTCCCTGAACATTCTCCAGCTACAGTCAATTATGCAGGATATATATGGGTGAAAGTAATTTCACTCTAGCTAAAATAGTTTTTAAAAAATTAAATCAGCCTTTTTTTTTTTTGAGGCATACAGGAGAAAGAAGCTATGTGCATCCTGAGGCATCCCATTACATCAGACCACTAAACTGGTAGCCATGTGAGACAGAACAAAAATTGCAAAATTTCTTGGAAGCTCAGTTCAGATGTTCCCTGTAGAATTTAAACACAGTGGATTACTAACTAGTCTATAATCCCAGCTAAGTGATTATTGCAATAGTCTGCACAGTTAACTTCACTGTGAGCAGTCAATGAGAAAATTTTGAACCTGACTCTCCTCTCACTTAGTGGGTTTACCTCAATGGAATTATTCTTGATTTACACTTGAGTAAATGAGACTGGAACAAGTGCCATGGATTTAGCTCAATTAGAAGGGTATTTAGGGCATCCTTCTCCATTGCCTTGCATCTTGTGCAGTTACACCTGTGAAAAATACCACCATCCTGATTTGGTAGCGTTTTGTGCTCACTTTGCACTGGGGTAAATGACTGCATAAGATTCAAGACAGTGAAGAACCAGCTCATCAGTTTGTACTGAATTCTAACTTTGTGTTTATACATGAACAGCACCCCATCTTTTCTAACATACATGCTCAGAGAGGTTTTTAAAAATACATCCTAATGTGGTGCATGCTAGAGATAGTGACACAAATTACGAAATATTTCTTGCTGTGTGACTTGGCATGCCGTTTGAAATCTCACGACACCCAACGAGCCAGATCCTCAGCTGGTGTAAATTGATTTCAGTGGGTTTGCTTCAAAGGAGCGACATCAGTTTACACCAACTGAGAATCTGTCCCATTGTTTATAAGGAACAGACTAAGGAAGAAGTGTTAACTCCAATCCTTGACTCTGATTAGAATGCCATTGTGATACCCTTTAATGATGGTGGGAGTTAATGAGGGTTAACTCTATAGATGATGTTTAGGGTTACCAGATAGAAAGTGTGAAAAATCAGGACAAGGAGTATGGGGGTAATAGGCGCCAATATAAAAAAAAGCCCCAAATATCAGGACCGTCCCTATAAAATCGAGACATCTGGTCACCCTAAACATTTTTTGTCTTTAAATCGGTGCTGACTTGTTTTTGTTCTGGGTAAATAAACACACTTTATTTTGGCTTCAGCATGTTACACCAGCTTTGTTCACACCATTAGGCTGGAGAGCTTCATAATTATTTCAAACTCAACTCCTATTTCCAAAGTGCCACAATAACTCTGTTGTAAAATATTGTGGTGATGGCTAAAGCTTGGTCTGTACAAATGTTCTCAGCATGGGGGATAGTTTAAAAAAACCCACTCAACTCTTTGCAAAGGAGTCTGTTTGTTTGGAGTTCGAAGCTGTTTTTTCTCCAAAAAGCTCAGATGCTTTCCACTCTCTGATGTGTTTTTTTTGTTTTTTGTTTTTAAAAAGCTCAAAGGTACAGCACGGTAATCTGAAATAGCCCTTTTCTACAACATCCCAGAAATTACAGTGAGTTTTAAAATAAGATTCCTACAGGGATTTTTAATTTGTTTGGTGCTATCAAATGAGGATTGCTGACCCATAATGGAAAAAACATAGGGATAAGTTGGGACCAGTGGAATGAGACACAAACCTACTGCTGCAAGCCCCCTGTCCCCGTGAAATTGACTTCTTACATCCTAAACAACTGCTCTACAAACATTCCTTCCAAATCTCCAGTGTCTCCTCCATCTCTGTCCCCAAACCCTCCCTTCCACCAAAATCCAATGTTGCCTAACTCACAATTTTATCACAAGTCTTATGACGCATATTTTTTTCAAACCCTCAGGTCCTGGAATCATGGGACTATGAGAAAATCTCAGCTTTTGGGGGTTCCCCTGAAGTCTATCCAAGCCCTCCCACCCCCAAGAATGTGTTTTCCCATCCCCCAAACTTGAACCTCTGAGCATTCTTCATGGGTGCGGGTGGGTGGGCAGGCAGGCAGGTGGGTGGATGTGAGTGGGAGATGGAGGAGGAGAAGGCAGGCAGGGACCTCAGCTGAGCCATTCCAGGGAGCAGCTTCTTGCCTGCCCATGAGGCAAGACAGTCGGCCCTTGTAGCAGAAGGCTGCAACTGCCTTCTCCCTACCCAGCTGATCAGCAGATTGGGAGGGAAGTGGAAGTGATAGTGTTGAACATTCACTTACTGTTTTTTGCTTTTCCCTCTACTACGGGGATCAGCAACCTTCGGCCCGCGGCCTGCCAGGGGGTTTACCCTGGTTTGTTTACCTGCCGCGTCTGCAGGTTTGGCCGATCGCGGCTCCCACTGGCAGCGGTTCGCTGCTCCAGGCCAATGGGGGCTGCGGGAAGTGGCGGCCAGCACATCCCTCAACCCGCACCACTTCCCGCAGCCCCCATTGGCCTGGAGCGGCGAACTGCAGCCAGTGGGAGCTGCGATCGGCCGAACCTGCGGAGGCGGCAGGTAAACAAACCAGCCTGGCCCACCAGGGTGCTTACTCTGGCAGGCCGCGGGCCGTGGGCCGAAGGTTGCTGATCCCTGCTCTACTACCTTCCTCTCCAATTTTCAGACCATACCTGAAGAGGAGAGGTGGGGAACTGCCTTATGTCCCCCACCATGTCCCCTCCCCTCCCCCTTAAAATTACACCCATGGATGGGGAATTGGATTATATACCTATGCAAGAGAAGTAAGAAGGACTAAATAACCACCTTCTCTGCCTCTTCACAACTATCTCAGCCTTGGGTGTGGGTGTGCAGGAGTAAACCCATTTACATCTTCCTCCTCTAGAGTAGGTCTACAGAGAGAAACCAGGCATGACTCTGTCTCCCAATACACTGGCGAGCACCTGTAAACTGGGTGAGAGGCTTTGTAATTTACTGCTGCTGTAGACCAACAGCAAACTGCTTCCCCCTCCCCTGAGTAAGGGGGAACCAGGAGGAAATTGTTTCTCTAAGGCCTTGGCTACACTTACCCGCTAGTTTGGCGGCTGGCAATCGAACTTCTGGGTTCGACTTATCGCGTCTAGTCTGGACGCGATAAGTCGAACCCGGAAGTGCTCGCCGTCAACTGCGGTACTCCAGCTCAGCGAGAGGAGTACCACGGAGTCGACGGGGGAGCCTGCCTGCCGAGTGTGGACCAAGGTAAGTTCGAACTAAGGTACTTCGACTTCAGCTACGTTATTCACGTAGCTGAAGTTGCGTACCTTAGTTCGAATTAGGGGGGTAGTGTAGACCAAGCCTAAGGAGTATCTGAGTGACAGCGCCTCCTGTAGCATTCCTAGTGTGGTGCTATGCCCTGCCCATGCCCCAAGTCACAGTCTAGCCCCAGTCAGGACCAAACTTTCAAAATGGATCTCAAACTGTGTATGCAAAGTCCACATTTAGACATGCAAATCTAGTAGTTAGAGGTATATTTACAATTTGTGAGAGCAAATGTTGTTTTTTCACATGCAAAGAGGCATGGGCACTGGTTTCTGGGTGTAACGTCAGAGGACATTTTCACAGCTCCAGCCTTATTTTTACTGTAATTTTCACACGAAATGTTAAAGGGAGCTTTTTTAAGACTATGGGCCTGATTCTGCCCTCACTTACACAAATAACAATGGAGTTGCTCCAGTGTCAATTAGTATCAGCCCTGGGTACTGTTCATGTATGATTCTTATTTTCTTTTTTATGATAGCATCAAAAATTGTCACAAATTCAGATGCTCCAAAAATTACATGAAGCTGAAGGGTCAGTGCATATACAAAGGTAAGGAGATTAGTATGATATTTTGGGCTCTTCAGACACACGCAGGGCTGTGTCTGCATCCCAAGGATCTCATTCAGGTGCAATATGAAGATGGACCTGAGTTGGGATCCAGATCTGGATCTGAACTTCTGAAAGTTTGGGATGTTCAGAACTGGAGTTTTGTTTTGGCCTTTTAGGAGTTGCCCGGCAAACTTGGTGCTGAATCCAAACTTCCACAATATTTGAGGGTGTTCTTGATTTAGGGTTTTGGTCTCTCATGTAACTTTTTAATCTAATATGACCATCATTAAATATG